TCATAAAAATAAAAAAAAAATCAGATATAAAGACAATATACGAGATTTCACTCCAAAAAATTTCAAAAACTAGGTTTCACTAAAAACAACTAAATAAATCTAAAAGAAATTTAGAAATTTTAAGCTAAGTGGCAAACCTGAAGATAAATATGAAATATAGAGGAAAATATACTTAAAGATGACACATCGGTAGCCTTAAAAGCAACCAACCAAGAATACCGAGCACTCGAGCCAACGCTGACTCGCCGAGGAGATAGATACTTTATCGAAGACAAATAGAAGTAGAGATTCGAGAACGAACACAAACGACAAACCCTAAGCTCTCGAGCCCGAAAGCTTTTTGCGATTTTGAGAGAACATAAGAGGGAGAGACAGCCGAACCCAAAAACTTTCAAGAGGGGAAGGGGAGGTTTGGTTAAATATATATTATATTATATTAATTATACAACTTATATTATATAAAAATATAATATTTATATAACCAATACTAATATATTATTATTAATAATTTATTACATACTATCATTGATAGGATTTAATTTTTTAAAATATGATAAATTTTTATAGTATATTAAATAAAGATAAATTTTTGTATATAATTATTTAAAATTATTTTGTAATTCAAAATTAATGATTTGAATATGATCGAACACAGGTCAATTCGTATTTGATTCATTTATAAGTCGATCAAAAAAAAATTGTTCGTGTTAGTCTCGTTTTCTTGTTGAATGAATCAAATACAAGCTTCCTGGCGAGCCAAACACAAAATATTCATGAATGACGAGTTTTTTTGACAACTCTATCTACGGGGCTCCGGGCATTTCGGCGGCGAACCAGACGAAGACGTCCCAGTTCTCCTTAAGGGTTTGCATTAGAATTATTTTTGACTTAGAATAAAAAATTTCAATGACTTGAAAGAATTTACCCATCTCTTCATTAATAGCGGGCAATTGGATGGTGGTTTTGCTGATCTTGAGGCCTCCCTTTCTATTGCTTTGAAGGTCGAGCGACTCTTGCTCAACATTGGTCACCACTCAGAGGTAGCCCATAAGCTGTTTAGTAGTGGACAACCGAAGATGGAATTGTAGGTGGGCAGGGAGTTGACCACGAGGAAGTCTTCAGACCTCAAAAACTATCGGTCTTTATCTCCCCAAACGACTTAAAGTGTGATTACACCTAGCTCTCCTGAGAATCAGAAGAAAGGCCTGGATAGTGTCATCATCCGCTGTAACTCTAGTTGGAGCTTGTCGAACACAGCTTGAAATAGGATGTTCACCGAACTCCCTGTGTCGATGACTATGCTTCCCACTAGGTATTGGTTAAGTGAAGTTATAATAGCAATCGCATCATTGTAAGGATTACCTATTGTCGGCAGGTCTTCATTGGTGAATGTGACAGGGGGCGTGTTGCTCTTCATGGGGCAAGGGCGATGACACGTAGGTCCCATGACCGAACCCTCTTCAAACTCGATCACCAAGAAGACTGCCCTCCCCCACCTAGTATTGTAGATATTATTCCCGTGATCCAGATGGTGTTGGCTCAAACCGGTTCGTTGTTCATTAGATGGGGATTTCCCTTGTCTGTACGTGACAGCCTCAACAACTACAAACTCTTTCAACTTTACGACCTTGATCAATTCCTTGACGAGGCTTTTAAAGTATCTTCATTCCTCCGTGTCGTGGTCGTGGTCATGATCATAGGCGCATAATTTGTTAGGGCTTTGGTCGGAGGCTTCTTGAAATAATCTTTATCTTGAATGACCTCCACTAGTTCTACTAATGAGATTCTTAGAGGGTCATCTTAAGTGGCTCTGGCTGGACCACTGCTCATTCATTATCTTGGGGCGAACGTCTATCAAGGTAACAAGGTCTTCTGTCATGATGACCATCCTTCAGACCTCCTTTGTTGTGTGGTCCACCTTCATAGTGAGGACGAGTAGAAGGGCATGGGTCATTTTTTTCGCCCACCAACCATTATCTGCTGGCCCCTTTTTTTAGCTATTAGGCATCAACAACGGCCTTCTTTGCCTCCTCTTGATCATTAAGCACTAATTCCTCAGCGTTGATGTGGTCGCTGGCCATCTACAGAAATTCAGCCATTGAACTCTGCTCGCGCAGTCCCACGGTATATTTAAATTGTTGACTTTTAACTCCATGTATCAGAGTGGTTTGAACCATTACAGGTTTAAGGTTCTGGATTTTTAGCATCTCCCGATAGAATCTTGTTATATAGGAACGAAGGGTTTCTCTCTCCTTCTATCTAACATGGAGGAAAGACCGAGACTTCTTATGTGGCATTTGCGCAATAACAAAATGTGACATGAATAGCCTTTTGAATTTGCTAAAGAAGGGGATTATTCCTGTTTGAAGAGCGTTGAACCAACGGAGGGTCGTCTCTCTCGGCGTGGTGAGGAATAAGCGGCATTTGAATGCGTTGGTAATCTTAAGGATGTCGATGACCGACTCGAAAGTGTCTACATGGTCGCCCGACTCGGTGAGACCTTTATATGCATCAAGGTTGGGGGTCTTAAACTTTTCAGGTGATTTAGCTTCAAAGATTTGCCTGGAAAAAGCATTCCACGCGTGGCGGAGGACTGTGATACATACCGTGCGATATCTTTCAACTGGGGCTGATCTGACATTATCTTGGTATCGGGAGTTTTCGCCTTCATCTTCCTAGATGGGATCGCTGAACGTTATCCACCTATTCGTCCCATCCATTGTTTGGCTCTACACAACTATATTCAGAAGGATTTTCGTTTTGTGGGTTCAGACCTCCCCTAGCCAGGGCTTCTTTGAGGGTACCCACCATATGTTCTCTCATTTTCAGTACCAATTGTTCTTTCACCTCAATTACTTGTTGTTAGACTATCTCCCTCGTACTATCCATCTCTACGGTCTGGTTTTGTGTTTCTCCGGTTGCTGCTTTATCTCTGTGTTGTGCTCCTCTTTTTGTTGGAGGCATGGATTTCACACTCATCGCACCTTTTAGAGAGTTGGATCCAAAAATATATGGAATCCCACTTAAGGAATAGAGCACAAATAATATGACGAGGAATGAACAACATAAATGAGTCTCCCCCCTTTTTCCTTCATAATGAGTTACCTGTTTATATGTATAAAAGATATATTAAGCACTCAATTACCTTTATGCCACCGCTATGTACAAAGGAATCTAGGGATATTAATGTCAATTATCTGACATATCAAAATATATTAAGTAAGTTTCTGCTACGACGATGTCCCTTTGCTCGTCGATTCACCCTTGGTCGCTCTTCTCTGACAGGTTGAATCATGAGAGAGTAATATGAGTGCTTCTCGGTCGACCTTATCTATGACTTTCTCAAGACCCTCGTTTGCCTCCCTTGCCCGCTCAGTGATATATTGTGTTTTGTTTGGCTGGACGTCCGGATATTGTTCGTTCAGCTTCAATATCAGTTGGTTTGTTATTTGTTTAGACAACTCAATGAGATTGTGTCAATCTTCTTACTCAAGTATCAATTTTCTGAATAACCCGATTTAGTTTTGTTGATTGGTTTTCTCATTTTGGCTGGGGACCCGACTCGCTTGTCGTGTTGCTTACCTCTACATCATGATCCGTGTTGCTCGAATCCAGTGATACAATAATATTTATAAATTACTAATTGCTCAGTTTTTATGAATTATATTAATTAATAATTATTTATAGTTTTATAAATTAAATAAAAATTAAATATGTATTTTATTTTTTATAATTATTAAATATTTATTTATAATTAATTTTTACTTATTAATTATTTTAACTAATAAAATTAATTAAATAAAATTAAACTAACGCCTCAAACTCATGGTTTAGAAAATAAGACCGAACTAGCAGGTTCGAAAGTGAACCCGCCAGTACTTTGGTTCAGGCTAGCTTAATATCGGCCCCTGTATCAGATCAGATTGAACCAGAAAAAACCGGCCTGTTGAACGTCGGTTTTAAAATTTTATGTTTTTATTTTTTTAAAATTAATAAATTAAAAAGTGGCACTTTTGATGTGATATGAAAGATTTGGGAGGTATAAATGTAAAAAATAAAGAATAGGTGTTGGAAATGTAAATACATTAGATATAGGTGGGTATGTATGTAAATGCCCCTAAAATTTTTTAAATTTAATATGGTGCGATATTTCATATTTAAAATTTTTAAATTAATTGTTATTAATTTTTAGAATAAAATTATTATTATGTTAATTATTCAAACATTGAGATATTTATTTTATATCTCATAATTTTTTTTTAAATTGTAATATTTTTATCACTTTTAAATAATTTATGATTTAGTACTGCCCACTCGGATTCATCGAACCTTTCACAACCTTGCTCAAACAATCTAGCCATCTCCCCTAGTCGAAACCCTCGCCTGCATGAAAAAATATTACATCAGTACTACGCACGTAAAGTAACGTGCGTAGCCAATGAAATCACACCACGACACTACGCGCGACAGAGAAAAAAAAAACGGCGCAGTAACACGGAGATATTTCCCCCCATATTATTCATGTGTTATTGTGTGTTATTCATGTGTTATTGTGTCATGGGAATATTCCTGGTGTTATAATAACACAATAACACATCAATAACACATAAATAACACACAATAACACATGAATAACACGGGGAAGAATATTTCTCTGTGTTACTGAGCCGCTTTTTTCTGTCGGAAATATTCTCCATGTTATTCAGGTGTTATTTTGTGTTATTCATGTGTTATTGTGTGTTATTCATGTGTTATTGTGTCATGAGAATATTTTTGGTGTTATAATAACGCAATAACACATCAATAACACACAATAACACATTGATAACACGCAATAACACATGAATAACACGCAATAACACATGAATAATATAGAGGGGAATATTCTCCGTATTAATGGGCATTTTTTTTCTCTGTTGTGCAAGGTATCGTGGCGTGAGGCTTGATTTAATTGGCTAAGCACTTTACTTGTAAGTTAATCTAAGTGGTTAGTACTTATCTAATATTTTTTCGTTGCCCAGACCTTGCAACCCCTTCAGCGCGGAAGCGGAGAAGCGGAGACCAGCCGCGCTGTTTCGCCGATGGAGGACGAGCAGACGAGCAGGTTATATCGTGTACGGCGAACAGTAATGGAGATGCTGAGGGATCGAGGTTATCTGGTGGTGGACTTTGAAGTCAAGATGACCAAGATGGAGTTCATTGACAAGTTTGGGCAACCCATTATGAGGGAGAACCTCACAATCAACAAGGCCAAAAAGAGCGACCCCTCTGATCAGGTTTTTGATCTGTTATTTGGTTTTAAATTTATTTAACTATCTATTTTTTGCCCTATTTTTGTATGTTTTTAGGGTTTAAGTTTCCTCTGGTCTCTCAATTACTTGAGAACTAATGTTTAATTTTTTTGGTAAATCAATTCTAAACTGCTCGGGAGAACATGCTTGTTTACAAATCTTGTGTGGAAGAATTTAGTCGGTCCCTTGTGATTTCAGATTTCTTGGTGATAAAATTTCTGCACGCTTACCTTCATTGAATGGATTTAGTGGTGTTATTCAGTGATATCATTGTTTAGATTGCATTCATTGTGCTCTGAAGGTCACTATAGCCTTCTTGATTTCAAAGGTATGGCTCTGCGTGCATCAACCCTACGTTGTAGGTAGGAATCCTCATACATTGACCATGCTTTGACTGTTCCCTTTCATCGTGGATACAAATAACCAAATACGATATGTTATATATAGGTGACTCATACTGAGTTTCTGTGGTTATTTTATGCTTTAGCAAACAGCCTTAAGCTTTGTGCTTAATGTGCGCTTGTTGAAAATTGTGTTTCTTATTTTTTGGCATTATGAACTATGAAGAGAGTGTATTGCACAGAAAACTGCTATGGACAACACGTTACAAACACACGAATTTGTGAAACCTTGAGAAAACAGGATATAAAAAATCTTGGTTGGTTTATATTCAATTCAAAATGCTGTTAATAACTAAAGGGGAGTTTTTAATCTGTTTAGCTCATTTTATTATTTTTTTTTAATGAAAGAAAGAAAAAGTTATTGAAAAGGTTTATTTTAACCAGGTTATTGTTTAACTTAACTTATTTTAATATTTTCTGCTATGGAAAACTAACTTTGAAACATACCTCGTTATATTTTAACTTTGAAATATAACTTATTTTGAATTGACATTTAAAATTAAGTGGTTAAAATATAGAATCGTTTGTTAATATATAATATCATAAATCATGAAAATATTAAAATAAGTTAACTTAAACTGTCATTTAACATGTTATGCAAGGTTCAAGTTTATGGCAATAAAGAAGTTACTAAGAGCAAAGATAAGTATAACAAAAAATAGTATTTATAGATGAATGTGAGGTATAATATAGAAGGATTATGTGAGAAATGATTGTAGAATATATATTATGGGAGTAGCATTTATTCAATATCATCATCATTGTTGTTATCATTAGTCTTATCCTAATTATTATGCTGTTGGTTTTCTAAATCTTATCATCATTATTGTCATTGTCGTTTGCATTATCCCAATTATAATCGATGTTGATAAAATTATGCTTTAAAGTGAGTTGATTAAGCGGGCGCTGCGTGCTGTTGAGCACCAAAGCACTTTCGAGAAGACGTTATTTTGCCATAGTTTTTGGCCTAATTTAGTGGTTGAGTTGCCAGTTTATTAAATATAATAAAAGGAAGGAGAATCTTGGACTTGCGGTTGCAATGAACTAACATTGTGGAAGTGCCTGACTTGCTACAACAGTGCACTTTATCTTTGTGCTCGACTTGCAGCAACATTGCATCTTGGCTCAAACTACAATATAGAATAAACTCTTGGCCCATGCTTTGAGCTAGCATTTGGCTCGACTTTCAATTTGCATCATATCTTGGCTGTTGGCCTTCTCCCTCTTGACATGCGACAATTAGCTTTGCATTTATCACTCAATCTTCTCCCTCGACTTACTACAACAAACTAATTTGTGCACTAGATATGAATTGTTATGATTTTATAAGACAAATGGAATGATTTAAGCACTATTTGTTTAGTATTCTCCCTCGTTAAACATTTATTAAGTAGAATAAAATGTGCTCCTTAACATCATTTAAAAAAATAGTGAGTGAGACTATCTAGATTTTAAAAGAAAGTTATTCTTTCAACATTGCACATTTAAATTGTATTGTTTTCCTATAAAATATTTTATAATTTGCAATGCATGGAGCTCTTTTTTTATTGACGTGTGGCAATCTCTTTTAAATTCTACATTTTTTATAATTGTTTTAGAGTGTTTTATTATATTGTTAAAAATTATTACTGGATTTTATTTAAATTTGAATAACAATTTCTCAGATGATACACACTCAACACATGATAGGCATAATATACAGTCATGAGTTCTCTAGCTAATATAATCATTTCTTCTCATTGCATTTTGTGATTTGAAGCAAAAAGAACTCTTGTGCATTGCAATGCACTTTTTTACTTTGAAAACACAGATTCTAATTTAGTCTACTTTTTAAATAAGCATTCTTCAGTCATCTTGTTAGGTGTTGTTTCTGGTATTTAGCTTATTTTTGGGAATCTTTTGCATATTTCCTATCTGTATTACCTGTTCTTCCCTTTTTCTGGCCAGTTCGAATGTTTCAAATGACTGGTGCATGGTTGAACCGATTGAGCCGACTGGTCTAGTTTGATTTTTGAAACTTTGATATTCTTACTCACTTATTAGAACTATGCCTAACATGAATGGTATACATTAGTGCCGTTCACTTGAATTCAGTTTTAGTATCTTCATAACCAATACAAAAGATGCACACTTAATATTGATGCTTGATGTAATTCTATGGTGATTTGGAACTATTTGATCTCTCTAGAACATTTAATGCAATAAGTGTTCTATCAGACATATCTTTAATAATTTGACCAACTTTGAAACATACCTCCTAATTATTTTTACAGTGCGTCAAATCAATTATTTCATTATTTGACAATATGGATTATGAAGATCAATAGGCATAATATGAAAATAAATACTTTGTTCCTCCTACTATTTCATTAATTTCTTTTCCACAAAAATCCTTTTATAGTGGATGTTCTTCTAATTAAATTGTTTTTTTTTCATATAAATGGATTTATATAATCCTATCTTCCTTTAACCTCTCCCATAACTTTATAGTATTAATCAATTTGTTTGATTCTCCTCTGTGATGTATGTTAGTACCTTTATGCCTCTTCTACAATCATTTTGTCATTCTTGTAGAGGCTGTGTGGTAGCATATATTTTTTTAACCCAGTGTAGGCACACCGGATTTTGTTTTACTTTATTGTATTAATTAAAATTCAAAACTATTTTTATTATTAAGTTATGATCATGAAAAATAAATGTAACTTGTGGAGATTTAAGAAATTAGTCTACCCACAATCAAGCTAAGTTAGTTAAGCTTTCAAATATCTCATATTAAAAACAATTCTAAATATATAGATATTACTGGGAATTATTTAATACTTTAAAATTTTTCACTGAAGGGATGGAAATTATGATAAATGTTAGATAAATAAAAAAAGTTCCAGAATTGTTTTACAATTTTTTAATATTTTGCCATTAAATTTGACAAAACTTTATTAACTCCTAATTAATTAAATTTGTCAAGGATATGCAATTTTTATTATTAAAATAATAATTGTTATATAATAAAAATTATATAACATGAATCACACATGTCAAATGCTTATGAAATTTTAGACATATGATCATGAATATGAAATAGAAACTTACTATCATTTTTAGATTTTTTTTAGCTTATTTTACATTTTCATTATTATTGTTGAAATTATAAAAATTAGAGAAAATTTAATAAATGAGAAAAATCCAAATAACTTTGATAGTATTATGACACTCAAGATAATGTTTAAATTAAAATTCATGCATAAATGATGTCATAAAAGTATTAAATTTGATTTTAGTGTGTGTATGATACATCACCAACTTCTCATGGATGAACAAAGCCTCAAGATGCACGTATGAATGCCTTTGACTCTTGTTTGCCTAATTTCTCTCAGTTTTACTCATCTCTTCTTCATTTTTCTCTCACTAGATTTATTTATATGCACTTCCTCGATAAGAAGTTCTTTTAAAGGATCACTGCCCATGAAGTATTTCCAATATTTATACCATATTTTCATGCTCTAGCGTTGCTGCCGGTTTTGTCCAAAGCAATAGGTCAAAAACTTTAATCCAATAGATTTGTGATGTATACGCTAAGGATTCATTGATAATGCTGTGTTGTGCTATTTGGTATATAATAAAATCGCCGCTAATGTGATGCCCATGTTCTTGAAGCTTCAGACAAATGCTGTTTCTTAATTTCCTCTCTTTTCATTCTCAAATCTGTTCTTGATTTTTTCTTTTAAATTGCAGGATGGCTAATAATTAAAGCTTTACTTTCATTTAACTGCCGAAGTCCAAGTACACTTAAATAGCTGATCATTGAATTTCTTAGAAACTCTATTTATAATTATTCATATTTTGAATCAATTTAAAAATGATAAATTAATGACTGATTGTATTAGATTAACAGTTAAAGTGACATTTATATGAGGTTATTGAATATGTACTGTAGCAGATTTGGCATATAGAAGGGTTAAAAATCTGCCCATTTGACTGGTAGATAAAATTATTGTTGAAAAATTAGGAAGAAAAAATGATAGCCTTAATATAATATTGATATAAGTTGTTTGAATCTATTTTCAAAGAATAGGCTCATTAATATTAAAATTACTATTCAATAAGCTGATCCTAAATAAGTTGGGATACGGCTAACTGTAATGGTGGCCAGATTAAATCTGATATCTTCTCATTTAAAATTCTAACGATAGAAAATTATAGTTGCGGTGACTGTTCTAAGAGTTTGCTGTTTTGTGTTCTGCTTAGGGAATTAGCTATTGTACTTCTTCCACTGGCTATGTGACAGCATGCCGGATATATATCATCAGATCTTTATTGTTTCTTTTTTTTTTTTGTTGGTCCTTTGATATTCGCTTGTATTCTCACATTCTTTATTCTGAAGCTATTTTCAAGCTGAGGACTGTCTGACAGTAAGGAGCTTTATTGATCGCCGTGGGTTTGTCTAATATCCCTTGGACACCGCATCATGTTGTGCTCACTACAAATTTTTCAATACTGCTGTGATGCTTGCAAAAATTGGTTGCTTTTCATGTTTTTTTTTTATGTGTAGGTCATTCCAGCTTTGGTGTAATAGAATCTTCTAAATTTTCAGGGAATTTCATATATAATTTACATCCTTCTTTTGGTTGTTTGTGTAAGCTTGTTTCATAAAGTGCTATGATCTTTTTTATATATGTAAAATCTTTATGATTTTGTTTTTTAGTTTTTATTTAGCCATGAATCTTGGCAACTGCTTGCATTCTTATTTTTGATATTCTATGTTGAACCAGATTTATGTCTTCTTCCCGACGGATGAGAAGGTTGGTATGAAACACATAAAGAAATATGTTGAGTTGATGAAGACAGATAATGTTCCCCGAGCAATATTAGTAGTTCAGCAGAATTTGACTCCATTTGCAAGATCATATCTTTTAGAACTTGTTCCAAAATTTCATTTGGAAGTTTTTCAGGTAAATTGGGATTAGCTGGCCTCCAACATAATGTCACCTTAATGATTATCAGATTTGTCTTGGGAAATCTGTCAAATATTTCAGTTCCACCTTATGTTAGATATACTTTTGTTCTTTCGATTTTCAATCTGATTATGGTTTATTTCTTAATGACAATAAAAAAAAAAAATGATAGGAGGCTGAGCTGCTGGTGAACATTAAAGACCATGTTCTTGTGCCAGAGCATCAGGTGCTTACAAGTGAGGAAAAGAAAACTTTGTTGGAGCGTTATACATTGAAAGAAACTCAGGTATGTTTCTGCATGCATGCACATGGGCTTTATCTCGACCCTTTTCAAATGAGTGACCATTGCATGGTCTCTAAATTATGGTAATTTAAAGGAAATAAATTCTATCATCATTTCAAAGATTTTGCAGTTGACTTGAAGCTGTTTTTTTTCAAGGACAGCTTTAAAATTTTTGCATTCTTAATGAAAAACTTGTCATCCGTTGGCATATTTTCTCAATTGTGCTTTCCGTAGAGTTACCAAAATCTTATTTTTGACAAGGTCAAACACAATAGTTTCTTGCCATATATTTGAGTCATAGCAGTACTGGAATATTGCTTTATGAATGTTTGACATGCCTGGTTCAATAACTGGGTTAATCTGAATGGAAAAGGGGAATGTTGGATGGATGGATGGGTAAAGGAGGTAGAGATTCTCAACACCCTTTATGAAGATAATTTTTTCATTGCCGATCTTACTAAATTGTCAATTGAGAAACTTTCTATTAATTTTTGAAACATTAGTAAACTTACATTTTATGATGGTTTAATACAAACCTGTTTAATACGAACTCACGTAATGGGATTAAGGCTTTGTTGTTGTTGTTGTTGTTAATCATTTGATCATAATTTTATATGCCTATTCTTTTGGTACATCCTTTACCTTTCATTATATATGCACCAACCATATAAGTTTATTAGATCTTATTTTATTTTACATTCAATGGATTTCTTCCCTTGCCCTTCTAAAATAATGATTTTTCAATGTATTCGTCTTCGTTTTGCACGCATTCAATGTACCATTTTATTTTATTTTCCTTACCACTTCTAACTTTAAAACTCGTACTCTCATCTTTATCCTCAATCCTTGTTAGTTTTTACACACATTCAATGTACCATTTTATTATATTTTCTTATCACATCTTTTTTTAAAATTCATACACTCACCTTTATCCTCTATATTCTCATTCTCAATTAAAAAAGGGGCATTTACAAACATGCCACACAATTTTTGTATATTAACAGTTCTAACACCTAAGTTTTCATATTTATACCCATTAGACTGAAATTTTTAACATCATATGGAAATATCATTAACACTAATTTTATAATAGTGAAAACCATGTTTCATGTCTAAGTTTATGATATCAAGGTGTTATAAATATAAATATGAAACTTAAGGTGTTAGATACATAAATACATAAAAATTGTGCAGTATGTATATTTAAATTTCCCATTAAAAAATTATTGTTTTTTTTGTATTTTACAAGAAGATAGAAAATGTGAATCTATCAAGTTATTTGAAATCATAATACATATGGAAAAACCCAAATTTTGCAATTATCTTGTGCGACATTTATTCTTTCTATTTTGTGGAAATAGCTTCATGGTTTTTGGAGATGTGAGCCTCAAATTAACTCATTAAATTAAGATACACAAATAAGCATTTAAGATTAAGTCTTCTTAGTATTTAGTGATAAGTAATATAAAAATTGGAGCACAATTTTGTTTTAATAAGGCATTTAATGAGTAATTAAAATTGTTAAAATAAAATCATAAAAATTCATACAAGTACTCGAAAATAAGATGCCTTAAGATAATCAAGTAAATATAAACAGCAAGTCTAAAGAAAACAAGTAAATATGCCCTAAAATTGCTAGTTAGGAGGACTTAATGATGAGTAACATTATAAAAATTTGAGCTCGATTTTCTTTCCATAAGGCATTCGATAATGATTTCAAGTGTTAAAATAAAATCATAAAAGTTTATACAAGTACGTGATAATAAAAAGTCTTAAGATAAACAAGTAAATATAAATTGCAACTCTTAACATAAACAAGTAAATATTTACCAACATAACCTAGTTATGACATAGGATTCTCGCTTCAAAAGTCCCTCTCATTTCTGTTACTCAGAGAGTTTTCATTAGAATTAACGTCATAGCTGTGTAGTTTCTTGCCTTCCTCATCCTTAATTATATTAACAATCCTTCCAATCTTCTTTATCATTTTTAATCCAATTCTTTTTATTCTCTGATCAATAAAATCAAATAAGATTATTATTTAAAACAATGATGATATCAGTTTTTTTATAATTTATATTACACACTAATATTTTATTTTACATTTTTGTTGATTTTTTTTGTTTTTATTCTTCACCCATAAAAAAAATGTCACTATTTAGATTTTCCTCTTTTAATTGTGACAATAAAACTTCATTTTCATCCTCCACAAATTATTTATCATCCAAGGGCACATCATAAAAAAAAACCATAACATCTTCATCATCCGTCAATACTTCTAAGCAAATAATGAAAATGGAGGTGTCTCCACTAAAGCAATTGAAGCATACTCTAAATATTATGAATAAATATCAAGGTTCTCATCATTTCTCACTTCTGATAGGCCTAAAGGCGAGTTTTAAATGGCACAAGGTTAAACCATTAATTTATACAACAATAACAACAGGCCTTTATCCCCCTAAGTGGGGTGAGCTACATGAATATTTTTTCTCCATTGTGTTCTATTAAGTGTCATGTTTTCATTTAATTCTAATAAATTAAGATCATTTTTATACAACATGCCCAGATCTACCTTTACCTTTCTTAAAATAATTTGAATCTAAAAAAAACCTCTATTCTCCTAACTGAATCATCAGATGGTCGACGTTTAATGTGAACAAACCATCTAAGGAGACTCTCCCTAATATTGTCTACCACTGAAGCTACACTAACCCTTTCACAGATATATTTCAGATATATTTGTTTCACATTTTGTCTCTCAAGTGTAAAGCCACTTATCCAGCTAAGTATTCTCATCTCAACAACATTCATTTTTATGCTTTTCTTTTATAGTCCCACATTCTGTGGCATAATGCATTGAAAGTCTCACAACCATCTTATAAATTTTTTCTTCAACTCTAAATGGTATGTTTCTATCAAACAATAGGCCCGATACATTCTTCCACTTCAACCATCCAACTTGAATTCTACTAATAACATCCCCAACTGTATTACCGTCACTTTGAACAATAGACCCGAGATATCTAAAACGTTCACTTCTTTTAATGATTTGATCACCCTTTATTACAGCTCTGCCATTAGATGTAGTACTACTCAAACTACATTCTGTTTATTTTAAATCGACTCAAATGAAGGCCTTTAAACTCTTACGTAAACCTCCATCGGCAAAAAAACATACACCAAGGTACATCCTTTTGTAAATTTTCAATAAAAGCATCCATAACTAAAGCAAAAGATATGGATTTAAAGCTGATCCCTGATATAGTCTTAACTAAAATAGGAAAATACTTGGTCAATCATTCTTCTGTCCGAACACAAGTAAGACCTCTAATATATATATATATATATATATATATATCTTTAATAACTTGAATATAAGTCATATCAACACATTTCATTCTAGAACTCTCCAAAGAATTTCTTTTGGAACATTTTCTTAAGTTTTTTCTAAATAAATAAAAATCATATGTAGATGATACTCTATCTACACTTCTCCATCAAATCTCTTAATAAATGTATAGCTTTCACGGTAGATTTTCTTGAGATAGTTCCAAACTGATTGTGAGAAATTTTTATATCATGTTTTAAAATATGTTCATTTACTTACTCCCATAATTTTAATATGACACATTAACTTAATTCCTCTTAATTTCCTCACTCTTGTGCATCTCCTTTATTCTTAAGAACGAGTACCAAAATACTTTTACTCCACTCTTCAAACATCTTTTTAGTTTTTAAAATAATATTAAAAAATGTAGCAAGCCAAAAAATTCCCAAATCTCTTAAACATTTTCACCCTTGAACTTTGAATTTATTAGCTTTTTTTTTTTCCTAAAGAATATTTCATTAAATTTAAGAATTGATTTTGATTAAAATAAATATATGGAAGATTTACATACCACACAATTCTTACGTATTTACATACCTAACACCTAAAACTTCAATATTTACAATCCTGCCACCTTTCCTATGCATGAAAAGGGTGCTATATTTCTTATGTGATACTTCATCTGCTGCTTATTCCTAACTGTATTTATTAAACACATTTCCTATGATTTTGCTGGCAAGCAGCTCCCAAGAATTCAAGTCATAGATCCAATTGCAAGATATTACGGACTGAAGCGCAGTCAAGTTGTGAAGATCATCAGACCCAGCGAAACTGCAGGAAGATATGTCACTTACAGATATGTTGTATGAGTTGTGGGTACTTTTATAAATATATCCATAACACTAGCTGCCCGTCCTCTGTATTGCAAACATATTTAAAACATGCTTGTATTGAAGTACATTTAATTAAACCGGATTTCAAACAATTTCCTGTTCCAAAATATCTGCATAATTTTTCAATCCCTATCACAATTCATTAATCTTCTGCATACCATTTTTATGTCGACGGGTGAAGGATTGCAGTGACAAAAGCACTTCCTTCAGCCTTGTTTTAATCTCAGAGTCGATCAAATTCCCATCACCATCAAATTTATTGGGAGGCTTACGACCTAAAATGAACAATTCAGGCTTGTTGATGAAGCGCAGATCCAGAAAAACTCCTGCTTGGCGCAGATGATACTGCGACCGTTGTCCGGCGGAACCTCCGGCAGCACTTACAACTGCGGCAGTTTTTCCAGCCATCACATTTGGAGGTCGAGAGGCCCAGTCAATTGCGTTTTTCAAGGGGGCTGAAATGAAAAAAAAAAAATAAAATTAAAAACAATTAATGAGAATATTACATCGGATTAAATGTAGCTTATTGGATTGCATGGTTTATGGTTAAAATGATACTCATAAAATGGAACTCAGGCATCCACCATAATTCAGAAACTCTTGATCAAGCGGTAAAAATGATGCCTAAAATGTCTTTATCTTAAGAATGCTAATTTCATTTTGTGGTAAATTTGTTTACAGTAATTGCTTTGATGGAACATTGCTTGGAGTTCTTATCTGAAAGGATGAAAACTAATGTTTATTAAAGTTCGGGGCATTTACATACATAACACACAATTCTTATGTATTTACATATCTGACACTTGACAGATTCATATTTACATGCATGCCACTCGAATCTTTAACATCACATAAAAAAACACCTCCTTTATCATCTTTTAAAAAGTAAAATACACATTTTGATTTATGGCACCTATGTGTTATAAATGTAAAAAATCAAAATTTGGGTGTTAAATATGTAAATACATAAGAGCCGTGCGGTATGTATGTAAAAGTTTTTGAAATTTAATGCACAATATGAGGTTACTGAGGCAATCTGAGTTGGCTTATATAGACCTTCAATGGTAAGAGGATAGATCAAGATAATATAAATGAGAAAAAGTTCAAAATGATTGACAAGGAAATGTCACTAATGGCCTCACAATCAACTAATACTTTGTCTACATTCATAATAGATTTAAATAGGCCAAGTTGTCAACAGCGCAAGCAATTGTTTCATTTGCATAATCCACATAATTTAAGAAAGCTATATACTTTATAGCAATACAACTATGAGCAATGTGGTTAATACGTAACATTTGCAAAACACATGAAACCAGCCTTTGTAAAAGAAAGGCAAGGCTACATATATCAACCCTCCCCAAACCTTGAAATAATGTGATCTCATGCACGCAGCAATGTCGACAAAATCTGCAACCTTTGAATTGGTAGCATGCCAAAAGAATGATAAAACTACGAGCACGGCATTTACATACATACCGCACATTCTCATGCATGCATATCTAACACCGAAACTTTACTTTTTTACATTTATACGAACTGAATCTCATACATATTACATAAAAAATACTCACTATTTTAACTTCTAAAAAGTTAAATATAACTTGTTATGCATAGGTAAGACTTTATGTAAAAATTAAAATTTAAGTGTTAGATATGTAAATACAAAGGAATTTAGTGGTATGTATGTTGACCTTCCAATTTAAAATATAGCAATGGGAGTCGGTTGATGAAACTAAATTAAAAAAAAAAAAACAACAGTTGAGGGTAAATAGTTCAAAAACATGCTTGCCCAAGAATCATGAAAACATGGATTGCTTCCGAGTATCTTTTCAATGTGGATAGTGTTATATGAAAACAATGCAAAAACATAAAAATTTACACAGCACCAATCAAACAAAAAGATTTACGTGGTTGAACGTTTAATTGATTCATCTACGTCCACGGGAAGAGAGATTCCACTAGCACCGGATGAGTAAAAGAAAACAGCTTGGTTTACAATATCCACACACCTCGCCATATCTCACTACATGAGCCCCTAAGTCCCTCTTATAGAGGAGACAAGGGTATACAAGTAAATAAAGTCAAAAGATAAAATTATCCCTAATTAAACAAAAGTCATAAATACAATAATCTTTACCTTATCTCTTACATCCAGATAAGTGAGAGATGACCAAATAAGCTCCAAACTCTAAATCAGCTACACCAAGACAGTTGCCTACATACCCCCCTCGCAAAGAGATCATGCCTCGCGTAGCTTTTCAAAATGCCAGACTGGGCAATTAGTCTTGAGCTCGGTGTTCACCAAACTCCTGCAGTAAGCGAATTTTTGAATTGGCAGTACCTTGGTGAGCATGTTCACTGGATTCTCCTTCATATCTATCTTCTTCAACATAACCTTGCCTTCTTCAATTAAGTGCCGAACAAAGTGGCACCTCACATCAATGTACTTGGTACAATCACGATGAATTGGATTTGTGACCAATAATATAACACTCTGGCTGTCACAGATTACTGTCGAAGACTCTTGATCAACTCTCAAGTCATCCAATAAGCCCTGCATCCATATCACTTCTTTCATCGCCTCTTTGATTGTCATATACTTAGCCTCCGTAGTAGACAGCGCAACAGTAGACTGACAAACTGACCTTCAACTGACTGGATCTCTAACCAATGTGAATAAATAATCAGTTGCAAATCTCTGTCTATCAATATCACTTGTATAGTTTGAATCAGTGTAGCCTAAACTCAAATTTGCAATAGATAATTGTATTTCAAAAACCAAGCTGACATCAACTATACCCTTCGGATACATCATAATATTTTTTACAGTCTGTCCATGTTTACAAATCATGACATACATCAGACTGCCCACTGCATTAGCATAAAGAGCCGATTGCGTATCTTTCCGTTCCTGATCATATTTAGGACACTGATCTGAACTCAACTGAAAATGAGATACAATAGGTAGACTCACCACCTTGTTCAACTCATCAACCCCAAATTTCTTTAGCACATTCCGAACATAAGCTCCACCTTTCTAGTTGTCTGGTCTCTGAGAATCTCCATGCCAAGAATTTTGTGAGTTTCACCCAACTCCGTTTCAAAATGTTTGAACAGTTGATTCTTCATCCTATCAACATCAATCTGACTAGCAGATTCAATCAACATATAAACACAAGTAAATGAACTCACTGTTAACCAATTTCTTGAAATATGCATAATGATTATATTGGTTTCTTGTATACTCATTTCCCCTCATGAATTGATCAAATATTTTATATCATTGTTGTGGTGACTGCTTCAACCCATACAAAGACTTGTCCATTTGCAAACCAAGTCTTTAGATACTCCATATCCAGACGACTGCCACATAGAGATCTCCTCTTGTAATTCCCCATGTCGAAATGCAATCTTCATATCGCGTTTTTCCAAGATCAGACTGTACGATACTACAAGCGCTAAGATAAAAAGAATTGAGGGATGTTTGACCACTGGGGTGAACACCTCGTCAAAATCAATCCATTCTCATTGCGCAATGCCTTTTGCCACCAATCTTGCATTGTAACACACATCAACTCAATGAGATCTTTCCTTCTTTGCATACACCTATTTGCACACGATGGATTTCCTTCTAAAAGATGTTTTACCAACCTCCAAGTATCATTCTTCTGAAGAGATTCTATCTATTCTTCCATTGTCACTCTCCAAATATCTCAATATGAGCTCTCTACTGGTTCTTTACATTGATAAGGAATATTTGTCTTCATGGCTAAAAATATAATACAATGTGATCCTCAACCAAACTAATTTTGGGACATTCTGGCGCCTGGTCCTGCTTCTAGCAATAGGTTCCGGTACAAGAATCTCATACTCAGCATCTTCTTCCGCCTCCTCCTGAACATTATCAACAGATACCTCGTAAGCTGCAACTAAATCAAATATATGAGTTGGAGTAGACAAACTCTGTGGAACAAATGGAGTTGCATCAAACTCCAACTTTTGCTCCATATATGTGGTCTCATTAGAACACTCCATCTGATTTTAATCTCAATTTTTCAACAAGCTTGTCTCGTCGAATGTAACATCCCTGCTAATGACAACCTTCCTTTTTGACTGATTGTACAAGTTGAAACCCTTAACTCCACGTCTGAAGCCAATGAAGATTGTCTTCATTGCTCAATGTTCCAATTTATCATTTTGCACATGATAGTAAGCTGGACACCCAAATACTCTCATATGCTCATAATCTCTAGCAGGAAGCCCTGACCACATTTCCTTTGGGGTCTTATTTCTAATAATTGTAGAAGGCAGACAATTCACAAAGTGAATCATATTTTATGGCCTCGGACCAACAGATTCTATCTAACCCAGAATTGAATAACATATACCGAACTTTCTCCACTAAAGTTTGTTCATCCTCTCTGCCACCCCATTCTGCTATCTTGTCTCTAAAAAAAGTGTTGTGTTCTATCCCAACTCTTTGACACTCTTGTAAGAATGCATGTAAAGTGTACTAGCACTCATCGTCTGATCTGATACACCAAATTTTTTTACTAGTATGTCTCAATCCACTTCTTTCAAGTTATGAAAATCTACAACACTTTATTTTTGCGCTTCATGTTATAAACCAAAATATACCTAGAGTAATCATCAATAAAAGAGACAGTATCTTTGCCCATTAAATAATGTCTTCGTCAGGCACTAAAAATTTGTGTGAACATACTCTAAAATATCTTTTATACTATGGATGACAATCACAAAAAATACTTGTCTTCTTATCAAACACACAATCTTCACAAAAAATCTAGCTTGTAGGTGTTTGCTCCTTTGATCAATCCTTTCTTCACCAAATCCTGAATTGAAGCCTCTTCAGCATAGGCTATCCGCATATGCCACAATATAGTGACTTCAGAAGAATTATCAACAATAGCAGTCGTTTAAGTCATTTTACTATTCTGAAGATAGTAAAGATTATGATGACGACTCCCTTCAAAAAATCATTACCCCATGACATATCGTCAAAACTTCTGTCTCAATAACTACCTTGTAGTCATTGGACTCTAAAACCCCAACTGACAGCAAATTCTTCCTAATATCTGAAACATATTTCAGCTCGATTAACTCCCTAACAGTATCATCATGCATCATTTGGGAGATTCCACTAGCACCGGATGGGAGAAAGAAAAATGACTTGGGTTACAATTTTCACACACATCACCATATCTCATAACATGAGCCCTAAGTCCCTTTTATAGAGGAGGACTAGGGCATATAAGTAAATAAAAATAAATTATAAAATTACCCCTAATTAAACAAAAGCCATAAATACAATTTTGAGGAAGCTACTAAAAAATTATAGGTTCACATTTTCAAGTCAGAAGTTACAAGGACTTCGCACATGGTGCAGTTTTTAATGGCTATGGAATGGTTAAGACTATGATGGAACTATTCATAAAACCGCTGACATGTGAGAAGCGCTCTGAGCTCCTTATTTGTTTCTACTAGTTTAGGCTTGAGGATTTTAATGACCTGCTATATTTTCTGCATTCTTTAAGAACCAATTACTAATTTATGGTTCATTCTCTAGCTTTTAGAACATATGCCGTGGCTAGAATGGATTGAATTTTTGAAGATGACAGTTTCTGTCACCAACTCTGTCCGGATAACAGATAACAAACCTCCTGGTTTGTCAGTCATCAGTCATGGACATCCCGAAAAGATGGCATCACCTTTTTCCATATCTGAACTCCTGGTTGCAGAATTCAATGGAGGAACAAGGCTACACTCTTGTCCTTTGGGCGCAAGAGGGTTTTAGACTTCCCCAATGGTCCAACAACATTGGAGACCAAGATTCTCTCAAGAAGGCACCTTAGGTCTTAAGAAGCTAGGATGTTCACACGAGGCCTAAATGCTCAATAAATCTATTAGCTTCCATGCAAAGAATATAGCTTTGACAGAGATTAAAAATGATCTATTAAGAGCTAATTAAAGTGATAAAAATAATTTCTTAGCTACTATCTACAGAGGATAAAAAAACTTCCACTTAAAAGAGTAAAAATTTAGAGAAATAATACATGATTTATTGACAAATATCTAAAAGATATCATAATGACTTGTATGGAATTCCATAGCACAAACAACCTATGAGGGAAAAGACAGCCTCAAATTTGGTTTCTGGTGTTTCCTATATTATGAAGAGCTAGGTTAACATCAGAGACAAAGAATCAAGTAAAACTTTCACTTTAGGCTATTCTTAAATAGAAACGGATTACCATTGTTAGAAGAAAGAAGAAGAATGATACCTATAAACAATTAGCATTCGCTTTAAATATCAACAATTATTGCTTTATATTTTGAAGAAAGAGGCTATTCTTTTGTAAATATCTAAGTTCTACCCAAACACATAACAAAAGGAAAAAAAAGCAATTATAAAATCATAACAAATAGCACATTTATAACAAATAAGATTGCTACATGCTGCACTTTTCAACTAAAAGACCGTATTTCCAACATTTACACTGAACATGAGACTCAAGATCTACTTGCCAGAAGAAAAATGTTATCAGTGAAATTTCAAGAATTTTATAAGCTCAAAACTGAATTCTGCTAAAGAAGAAAACAAATATAATCCAAATTTCTTTATGAATCATTTAGCAATCAAGAAAGCAGCGTCTACGATACAAAATTTCCTGCAGATTTGTTCATTAATAAAAACTGAAGGACTGAAATGAAAAGATAAAGAGAGAGAAGGAAGAGAGCAATACCCGAAAGCGAATAGTTGTACTCGGGCGAGGCGAAGAGGATACTATCGGCGTCGAGAATTATGCGGCGGAACGCATCGACGGCAGCCGGGTAGCCTCCATCGATCTCTAGGTCAGTGTTGATGAGCGGAAGGGAAGCAATGTCCGCTAACTCTATCTGCATCCCGATTATCTCGTCTTCGCATAACTTCATAGCTTCAGATCAGGTACAGAGGAAATCCAAACCCAATAGACCAGATCAAGAGAAGAAAATAAGTTAGTCACAGAGAAGCTCCATGTCAACTATATAGCGATTAAACGAACTAGAATTAGCTACAGAGGAACTCCAATCAGAGCATAAAGAAAGATCAGAAATGGAAGCAGAGTAGAGGAAATTATACAATGAATTTACCACAGCGAATGAGACCGCGGTTGAAAGAGGCCCGGCGAAGAGAACCGCAGATGGCCGCAACCTTTATAATCGCGGCATTCTCGCTCATCACCGTCTCTTCCATCTTCTTCGTCCCTCTCTCTGTGTCGACAAGAAGAATGCTCCAAGCTTTCTGAGAAAAATCATGCCGGTTCCTAAGAATTTGGAGGATAGCTTCTGCAGCACGACAAGCATCAATAAAGAAAAAAAAAATCAAATGCGTCACGTGCTCCTCACACAAATTTCCAACATGAAGAGCATAATTAGGCAGACATTTACATGCAATGTAGCTCAATTCTCTTACATTTTTTAGTTCTTATAAATATCAAAATTCATAACAAAAAATAATTCACAATTTTGAATTGTTATCAAATTTTAAATAATTTGATGTTGACATACATAAATAAATCATAATAATTATATGTGATGCAATCAATAAGTTTTAATCATCCGAATTTCAATGCATAACACGAATGTTGTGACAAATTTTATACTAAAGAATGTTCAAACTTCAATTAAAAGTCATCTAGAATTCAAATTTCAACAAATTTACAATCAGGCTAACCAACTCGATGAGACAAATGCATCGATACAAAAATCGATGCAATCCGAGTCAAATAAAGCTCACATCAAGCCTGTAAATCACTTTTGGGTGTTTACTGGGCATAATTGGAAGGAAAACGAATTCTAAAACTAGCAAGCTTATAGTCAAATCGATCATCTTATTAAGATAAATCTAGTGAGCCCAAAATCACTCAATTCGAACATCATTAAGACACTCAAGTGTCCATCAAAAGTCGTCGAATCAAAGGGATCTTTTCGGGTCGTCCTATCAAAATTGTCTGAATTCTTTTTTTTTTACAACATGAACTCTATAAATAGAGTTTTATTCCACCACTTGAAAGATGAACTAGATTTTGAGCAACAAGAAGACCAGAGTCTACAGAAGAGGGAGTTGATGTTCAAGACCATGCACCAATGATCCAACAGACACCTCCTACTCCAATAATCGTCGAACATCGTTGATCACCGCTCGCCGACTACACCGACCACCATTGGTTGTTGCCCGCTCTTAACGACGAACCACCATGTGAAGCAACAACCAACGCCACAGAGTCGTGAAGCAACCAATGAAACAACATTCCTTCCCAAACACTATACCGACTCTGAAGACGATGCATTGAAGCTTTAGTATGAACTCTCTATCATGGCCACTCTCTGCTGCGGAGAAACGAGATCTCCCACGCACAAATGTTATAACTCGAGATATTGTGCAACCCTTTTCAGTATATGAGACTGTGCTATACATGTAATCACAAACTCATAGTGAAATATTTTAACTAGGTAATGTCTCATAGCTTTTTCACCTTTTTGGGTTTTCCAGTAAAATTTTTTTGTCTTTACTGGTCATCTTCTTTCATCTATGTATATATTTGATTCTCGTACAATGTTAAGATGATAATTCACTATTTTATTGCAAAAAATTTCACGCATCAACATACATACCACCCAATTTCTATGCATTTAAACATCAACTAATTTTTATATTTATACCACCCAGATCTTTCATATCACATCAGAGGGGCTTTCTTGAAGTATTCCTAAGATGCTAATTCTATGTCATGCCCATCACGATGGTAATTACAATATTTATGTGGATTATGGAATGTAGCTCTGACTTTCATTAAAGGGGCTTTCTTGAAGTATTCCTTATTTTAAATGGCTTCAGCTAACTCAACCATAGAAGCATTTAGTGGAGTTAAGCCTTGCATCTCCTGATACGTATGCATCCGCTTTTAGTATCGTTCATGACCCTAGTTGCCTATTGCCTCAGTTATTGCGGGGGCGTTGGTTGTTGTTATAGCGCAAACGATCGATAAAGATTTGGTTATCCTTTGGCATATGACCTTCGTCATGCACCTTTCTCTTCTTTGATAGTTGGTCGAACAATTCTATTCTGGCATTAAAGGGGTCCAACCTCCTCGGTACTAATGTGGTTGTTGGTTATCTCTAACAGCTCAGCAAAAGACTTTGAATCGAGCAAGTTCAAGTCATACTTGAATCACTCATCTCTAACTCCTTGCATCAGAGTAGTATGGACAATCAAAGATTGCAAGTCCTTCACTTTCAACATCTCCTTCTGGAATTGAGTGATATAAGTTTGCATGTTTTCATTCTCTCATTGCTTTTTTTGCAGCAGAGCCTAGACTTCTTCCCCGACTTTTTCTGATTAGCTAAGTGCACCACGAAGTGTTCCTTAAACTCAAAAACAGTTGTAATAACACTAACCAGCAAACTAAGAAACCATCAAAGAGCTGATTCCTTAAGTGTTGTTAAGAAAAGCTGACATTTCATTGCATCGTTGATATGCAACACTTCGACTGATGATTCAAAAAAAGCCACATGATCAATCAGATCGTTCCTCCCCTTTTTAAGGATCCAAATGAGGAATCATTAACTTCACTGGGGGTACAACCTCCATGATTTTTTGAGCGAAAGCACTATCAGGGGTTGGTGGTGCCTCGACTTGTTCTACCCGATGCCAGACTATCAACTTAGACCCATGGCAATCAAAATGTTGGTAATCTTCTTTTCATTTGGTTGTTAATTGCTTATTCAATCATTAGGCGTTGGCTGATTCTCAAACGGTACCCCTTGAGGGAGAGCTCTCCGAGATCCCACCTCCAAAAGCCTCGGTTGATCATTCATTCGAGATATTACTTCTCGGAGGCCCTCAAATTAGCCCATGATTTGATCTCGCAACTTCTGGACTTAATGTTGAATCTCTCGTTGCACTTAGTCGCTTCGGTGTTGCGTCTCTGTTGTGATTCGCCTTCGTAGTGTGCTCCCTTTCTTTTCTGCGGCATCTCCATGCTCATTGCACAACCCTTTAGGATATTGAATCCTAACTTGTCGTTTGGTATACACGCCCCGAGAGTTAGAGCTGAGAGGAGAAAAGAAAAAAAATAGAGTAGAGAGAGAGAGAGAGAGAATGTCCCTTTGATTTATGTCTTGACCTCCTGCTTACACGAGTTTAAAAATGCCATTACAGAAAAGAGGAAGAACAACTATAATAACTACCCAAATGACTGAATTGATGTTTGTCAAGTGAAAAGTACATTGTAATACAAAAGAAATATAATGTTTATCTATCGTCAAATGTTTGGTTTCGACTGATCATGTCGATTGATCTTATATATGAGATCACTTACGCTGAGGGAAACAATCAATCGATCAGAGGCATTTGATCGATTCGGAGAGGTCCATCGGTCGATTTCTCTATGTAGTCGATTGATTGCTTGGTCAATCCATATCTCGCTCTTTAGCTCAGAATTTCGATCGCCTGAGGCTCTATTCTTAGGTGCTTCATGCTGGCATTTTTGCTATATAAGGATAAATGATTATTTAATTGAACTTTAAACAGTATTGTAAATTTTAATGAATTTTCATCCAAAATTGATGAGTTCCATATGGCTTTTTTGAAGTTTTTGTCAAAATTTCAATGAAACTTAATTCCCTGTGTGTGTGTGCACGCGTGTGTGTATGTATATATATAATACCTTATGTGATTATATGCATAAAGTGTATAAAGTAAGAATAGTGATTTTTTTTTGTGATATAAATGATCTGAGTGGTATAAATGTAAGATATGTAAATACATATGAATTGGGTGGTATGTATGTAAATGCTCCAAAATAAATCAAATTAACCTGATTAAGTAAAATTTGGTTAGCAAAAAATCTGTTTGAATGTTGACTATTATTTTGATTTCCTATTATTTAATATTTTTTAATAATTTGTCTTTAATTCAGTTTTTTTTAATCCATTAAATCAGAAGTGAAATTGTTTTTTTTTTTCTTTTAATATTAAATCAACAAATAAAATAAAAATTGACTTGAGTATTATTTGTTTCACGTTTCAAAATTATAAATTTCAAAATTTACCACTTGATATTCTCAATATCAATTATTCAAGTTAAAAAGGTAAATAGGTTCATTGTTAAAAATAGCTATATGTTGATAAACTAAATTGACCAAATTAAAATTTGATTGCACTTAATTTAATTTAAATGATGCATATAAACAAGAGACAAAAATACAAGTAGACATTCCCAACCATTCTTTACCTTTGCCCAACTGAAAGTTATCATCTTCCCTGCACACTAATTGCAAAAAAGCAAACACATTTTTACATCATGTAAGCAGAAATCATAAAAAAAAAGCAGTTTCAATCAGCCAACAGAATCTTCTATCATCACATCAGCTCCATTTGTTGCATCATCTGCACTACAATCACCATCATCATCATCATCATCATCATTTTTATCACTGCCTTTAATATGATTACTGTCTTCCTCTGTTTCTGCATCCGAGGGCGACTCGCTCTGCGTCGCACCAACACAGCCGGGAAATTTATGCCTGAAATCAGGTTCGACGATGTTAATCATGGCAGAAAGCGCTCGGTGCTCTTTAGTAACAAGTTTGGTGATGCTGCGCGTCGAATTGCTCTGACTCCCCGTCGCCTGGCCATCAGAGCCAAGCATTAGACAAGCAGTAGCTGCATGGGCTTCAGCCTCAGCACCTACAGCATGATCTTCTGGAGATTCATTTTCCCCATAAACTGATGGAGCAGTGTCAATCGCCCAACTCCCTGCAGCTTCTGAAGCCAAGAGGTCAGCAGTTCTGATTGTGCTAGCTTCATTATCCTCCTTTCTTTGCTGGGATGTTGGGCTGGTTTTGAGATCACAATGGCCGGCCAGAGGTTCGTCGTTATCGTCGGCTCTGACTTTGTCGTCAATCTGCATTGTATCACTGGCAAGCTTGCGGCATTTGAGGAGAGCAACAGCAGCACCTCTTTCATCGATTTGGCTTTCGGTTCCGAGAACTCGTTCTGTATCAATCAAGTTTAAATCAGGAACAACTTCAGTTCCAACACCATCGATGTCTGAGCCAAAAGCTCGAGGTAACCTATCAGCTGTTCCGCCTTCTAGGTCTTGAGTGTTACCATCTTGACTATCATTTCGACATTCATTCTTCTGAGTGGTGCAGATATCGTCGTCGTCGTCGTCATCATCATCATAGTCATACTTACCATCAATTTTCAGAAGAGAATTCTTTGGGGTGGATGCGCTTGAAGATTCTTTTGGATTTTGTCTGGTTTGGGCAATATTGAAATTTAGATTAACAGGCATGTTTGAATCAGCAGCAAATAAGGAGTTTTCATAGTTCTCTTCATCTTCCAAGGTCTTCTGCATTGCCTTCAGCTGCTCCTGCTGCTTTGAAAATAGTGCAGAAATCTCTTCAGTCGTTGAGTAGAAAGCCCTTAGTTGGGTTTCCCTGGATGCATTTGAAACGGTGGTATAAGAAACATGTCTCCCTATGCCAATTCGTTAACACAGAAATTAAATAGAGCCAAGGAAAAAGGAAATCCTTTGGTCTCCAAGCTTTCATGTGAACAAACGAATTTTCGAAAATGTTAAAAAAATTTTTTACATGATTAAGGCGGCCAAGAAAGGTGAGACCAAAGGATAATATGCATATTCGAATCCACGACTTTACGGTGAAATATTACACCCTCAACCACCATGTTGCGGTGTACAATTGAACCAAACACTGATATGCTTAAGCGAACTTCAGGTTTAGACTCATTTTGATAAAGCCTGCCTACTAACTATTAAGAGTCAATCAAGCCAAGAGGGCCTTGCACCTGTGCTCAGGTCTTGTTATTAAGGACATACAATGAAACATATTAGTTCATAATGAAGAAAAGTGTTAAAATAGACCCTCATTGTTTGTAGAGGCCCATTTTCATCCCAAAGCCTAAGACCGTCCATTTAATCCTCAAACTCTTTTAATGGAAGCTAAAATAGTCTTCTCTAGCAACTATTTCAGCCCATAATAAAAGAGTCTCGAGACTAATATGAATATTTTATAAAGTATGGGACTAAAATGACCTCATCTAAATAATCAGGAGACTATTTTGACACTATATGTTCATAATATAAGAAACCAAAAATAAAATAAACTCTGGCATGCAACGACATCATATTCATGAATAGAAAGAAAAATCAAACGGGTGACCTGAATGTTTGCCGAAAAGGTAAATATAGAGAAGAAAAGTGTATCTTCTCTCCTGTAAGTGGAGCTAACACGGATGTGATAATGGTTCCTATTAAATGAATACAAAACCTATTATAAGTTGTGAAAGGGCCCCTCAAGTTGCTGTTGATTATACAACAATAGAAACACGGGTTCTACTAGCATCAATCCCCAGGCCCGTTTTTAACAAGCATCATCTAACTTCTTCTCATGCTACAACCGTTTAATCTCTTAGTGAAGTAGATTTTTATCTGTAAAATGCAATATTTTTTCAATGCAGTTAGAAATGAAAGGTATTTTCTATGCTCACCGTAGAATAAGTCTTTCTCTAGCTCCCTGAAACCTTTGCTTTTCAATGGATAGATCACGAATAGCAGCAGCAATTTCAAGTTCAAGGGACGAAACTTTAGCCCACGCTTCTTCCCGTGCCACCTGCTAACAAAAAGGCACACAAGGTTTCTCAGGTATAGCAAAATATAGATGTATAAGTCAAAAAATGGGTCTGATAGGCCATGACAAATCCTTCCAAAATGAACCAAAATAAAATGTTTATTCATGTTGTAGGACAACTCATACAGGGAAATCATCATAGAGGGAGATTACACAAAAAGTGACATGGGTCTATTTTTGCAATGAAATTAGTGCATTGTCAGGAACATGAATATGTCAAAATTGTGACTTGTTTCTGGAAGAAAAATACTTGTAATGTGTTTTTCTAGTAGCGCATTTATAGGAACAAGTCCTATATTTAAGAAATGGATTTATTCCTGGATCAACATTCTTCAAATGTGAGAATAAATCTAAATAATTCGTAATATTTGCATACATATCAAAACATTATAATTCTTTGATGAATTTTCTATAGGAATTGTCCCATGTCGCACTAAGATTAAAAAAACAAACAATTTGAAAAAATCTAATAAGAGCTAAGTTACATACATAAACTAGGAGTACAGGATTTTTTTTTTAATTTTTTTTTTTTTATGCTTGTGGTACTGAAACTGGGAGTACAGACGAGTTCATATTTGGCCACAATATAATCTCATAAAGCACATATTTGATATCGTTCTAAGATTAAGAGCTAACACTTAAGCTTATGCATGATTCTAAAGCCATCTACAAAAATGTTGGTCACACAATCAATTCAGGCAGCTCTAGTAAGGACCGACCACAATCTCATCAGTAATGACCTTACAATGAAATAGAGGATAATGTTGATGTCAGTGGTGCTAGGAGAGTAGAAATTGCACCAAATGAGATGTCAATGTGAAGTTAAAGAGGTTTACAGGTACCTTGATATTATACAAAACTTCAAAATTAAAAATAAGGAGTTTCATTCGGGCCATGTAATAAGTCCAACAATATTTCGATCTAAATTTTCAATGAGTATAAAGACCAACAGTTCCCGCTTAGGACTTCTTGTAAATGCTTGGTAGAGAATTCTTGTCATGCACAAACTAAGACATAATTACCAAATTTGAATTCTTATTACTAATGTGAAATTATAGTTTAACATTGTTCACTAGACACACCAATATATTTTTTAGCAGCACCATTTAACTTATAAAAGTGATTTACAAAAGAAGCATCAATATGTAAAAATGAATTTAATGAAGAGGGTGATAAATCTATAGACATCTCAGGTAAAATGCAATGAAATATTATGAACAGGAACACACCTATCATTTTATTCACAGTTATCATACAAACATTCTAACATTGAAAGTGTAGATCCAAAATTCCCAAGCTGTCCAACAAGATATCTGCAGATTGTTATTAATTGTAGATTGTTGAACATCTAATCAGGTTATAGAATATATGTATTTAACTGCCCATTAAACCAATGAAGCATGGAAATTAAAGAAGGTAATTCTCAAATTTATTGAGTTTGAGCCTCCACATACGGACACTTACATATTTGATGTTATATGTGAATGTTTGTTGGAGTGGAAGCTCCAGAACAATCTCTACAATTACTTTAAACGATGCAAGTAGTATGATGATGCAGTTAGTTCCTTAAAAACAAATTTTCAATCACGAAAAAACAACACTATAGTGGGTTTTTTTTTCATGTGAGATGTTGCGCTCATATCCTCAATATAATGATCAAAGCTGAGCTAAAAAAGTTTCATGAAAATTAGTGAAATATTTGAAAAAATCCCCTTTGAGATTACATAAGTTTGTCGAAGTGACAAAACAATTAGGAGTTCCAACCACAAGGCCTTTCTCTATTAATATTTCTACTAAATGTAACTCAACTTTTAACATGAAGTCTGCATTTATTTTTTATAATGTTTTTCATCAATATGCAATTCGAGGTAGTAATTACAAATTATTGTCAGTTAATTTGAATTGGTTGAAATATGAGAAAATCAAAAAATTTCTTTCAGTTTCCAAAACTGTTATAAAGATAACATCTAGTATACTCTATTCTACTTCAAATATATTTTTACCAGTTATGCATTTAAAAAAGATTCTGATAGAGGAGTCAATGTTAGAAGATGGTTATATGAGAAATATGACTTTAAGTATGCAAATTAAATTTAAAAAATATTATGAGGAATGCAATCTTCTAATGTCTATTGCAGCAATTTTAGACCCTAGATTGAAACTCAAATTTATTAGTTATTTATTCCTGAAAATATTTTCACATATGAAGTTGATCAACATCTTAAATCAGTTCAACAGACCTTGTGAGAAATATATGTAGATTATGTTGTCGATTGCACATCTCCGTGTCCTACAAGTAATATTTCACATGAGGAAACTTCATTTATAGTTGATTCTATGGTTTCCTTATATCATTTTGAGTATGTTGAATTTCAAGATTTTGGTATAGCTTTTGGATCTGTGGAACCAGGAAGCCTGATTTACAAGTATATCTTGATGAAAGATTATTTATGTGCATGGGTAAAAATTTTAATGTGTTTGTCTGGTGAAAGATGAAAACACTAACGTATCCACGACTTTCAGTTATGACTTAAGATATTTTATAAATATATATAATCACGGTTGCCTCATAATCCACTTTTAGTGATGAGGGCAGAGTGTTAATGATTATAGAAGCAGTTTATCCACTAAAACAGTTAATGCATTAGTTTGTGCATCAAGTTGAATTCAATCCACTCAAAAAATGCAAAGACACCTTAGATAATCATTTCATTAAATATAATTTCTTTCTAATTCCTTCTCTTTCTTCTTACAATAAATATCAATATTGATTTTCATTAATTAATTTCAACAAGAGATACTTGAAAAGGAAAAAATTAATATTCAACAGCTAGACAAATGAAAACAACTTTATTCTACACAAGACATTAGATAGTTATGAATTTATATAATTATTGCAAGTCTAAACTCTGAGCACTATTTTTTTTATTTATGTAGTTTTGTTATTTGTGCTACAAACTTGTTATTGCTCTGATATTATGTTGTATTTTGTGTATACTTTCACATTTTATTTATGTAGTCCAGTTTTGTAGCTCTTCTATAACTGGTGTGGCACAATCTTATGCAATCATATGGAAGCTTATAATTATTAAAGAGTTTGTGATGATATATAATATGATCATCTACGCTTAAGTTGGTATAGCCTAATTACATGTGTAACACTTTATATGAATTTGATACATTTAAAGTTGGTATGACATAATAAAGTTAAGCAATCCTTTAGCCCTCATTAGATGAATGTCAAAAATTCTAAAGTGGATATGATAATTTCATTACGCAACACTTTAGATTAGTATTAACAAATCTAATGATGGATGACATAAACACATTATGCAACTCTTTAGATTGTAGCTGAAATTAGCATTTAATCTTAAATCTGAGACTTAATATTATGATAATTCATATTTGGTTGATTTTTTTTTTTCATGGTGAACTTTATTGTTTAATCTCATTTGATGAAATTATTGCATAATTTTTTATCTCATTATGTTAAAATTTGTGTTATCATATCTATACTTATTTAACATTTCATACAATAGAAATCTTTGTATGAAAATTTATTTTGCGCTTTCAATTGCTTATGAATATTGGATCCTCTATTGAGAAGCCCATAATTCATGTGTGGGTGATTCGCAAAGCCTTTACTCTATTGAATGTTCTATTATTCTTTCCTCCAGGAATCTAACGATGGATGACATAATCACATTATGCAACCCTTTAGATTATAGCTACTCTTTCTATTTCAGTTATGGACTTTTGTCGTTGTTTTAGAGCCCGTTTGGGACAGCTTATTGGGGTGCGATAGCAGTTTGAAAACGTTGCCGCTGTGTTTGAAACTTGCGTTCGCTCGGCATTTTGGTGCCGCCCTGATACGTAGGTAATAAATTTTTAATAGGTCAAAAACACGGGATAGCTCCCGCGTCCTGCGTCCGGGACTCACGTTTAGGGAAAGTTTCCTCCAGTGCCCTTCTATGTTCTCCCTCGCCCTCTCCCTCTCCAATCTTCACCCTCGCAAAGATCGACTCTCCGGTGAGACCCGATATGTTGCTCTGCTCGATTATTTTGAGAATTGTTTTTTCTTTCCCAAATTTTGGCAATTTTTGGCTGATGATAGAACTAGGGTTTTCTTGCTGATGATTTTGGTGGATTATTTCGGAATGCACTGGGTAGAGTTGGACTTGCTCTATAAGATCTATTTGTGTTGTAATGTTGTGTGCTAGTATAGTTCGACTTGCTTCTCTTGTTGAGATCTACTTGTATTGTAATTTGATCTCTACTATGACGTACTGGCTACGAACTTGATGCTTGCATGACAATTGCTATAGCTATATGAATAGCAGTTACTGCCAACAAAAATGTCGAATGGCTGAATGCATAGACCAACAAGAATATCACTAGGGTAATTCTATAATAGTTGTGGCTAAGATATTTCAAGTTTTTATAATTTTTATATTGTACACTTAAAACAGAAATGTTGATTATCATCACCATCACTATGCTTATCCCAACAATTTGGGGGAAAGAATATGAATGTCATGTTGATTTGTCATGTTATAGAAGTATACTATAAATACATAGATATAAAGTGATATACTATACATGAATGTGCTTCCATATGAGGTATGTTCTAATTCATGTGCAAACACTCTTCAAGTAGAGCAAAAAATTCTGTTTGCATTATTTTTGGCTTAGTTGAGGGAGCATTTACATAAAATAGCAACGTTAGAATTGTTTCTTTCCAATTCATAGTGTGGAGTTCCTATCACCTGAGCTGCAATAAAAAAAGAACTGTGCAGTGAATATTTTTGTTCCCTAATTGATCACTGCATGATAATCTAATAGTGCGCTTTGTGCTTTGCTTGGGCATTAAACCAAGGTGTTGGTGTTTTAAGTAGGAGAAACTAGTGAGTGCTTCAAGTACTTAGAAGTGTGTGATTTCACTAGTTCGATGGTTGAGGGCTTTTAACAGCCTCTACAAACTCAGC